TAGTATATTAGCCTTAGTCGGGTTCATTCTCAATCCCATAAAATTTGGCTTTGTTGCTGGTAAAGCATAACAGGAATTCATTACTTCATTACAAAGGACTATTCAATCTTTCTTAAATTTTGCTGTCCCAGAACAGGAGACAAAGAGGTTGGTTAAGTACAGGGGTAGGATGGAATCGCCTGTAGTGCAAGGATTGAACCCGCTCCTGAAGGCAACGGGCACGTGATTTCTTTGTTCTACTAGTCCAGGGATACCCGGTCCAGGCCCAGGACAAGGACACCGGAGTGTTGGCCCTGCAGTGAGGGGCAGCTGCGAAGGGAGAAGCTGTTACAGAAGAGAATTGCTTTGAGTTCGTAGCGAAGGGCGCACGCTTGGGCCCCTCTGTGTCACGGCTAAAAGCCTCTTCCTTCCCCGTCACACAGCGTCTCTCCCGTGTGGGGAGTTCGGGGGTTTTAAGGTATTTCAGACTTTGATTGGGATTTTTTCCACATGTGTTTTGTGTTTGTTTGAATGTAGCATTTCTGATGCACATGCTTTTTAGCGCATGTAAAACACAATAGTGATTGCCACACACCGAGTGCTAGCAGAAAGCTTATATGCAATTTTTTTTGTATTTATTAGTTGAAAACTCCACCTCTAGGAGTTAAGCAATGCCTATTTTTCTTAGCTGAGCGCACTACCCAAACCCTTAAGCTGATGGGTTTTTCCCATTTTTTTCTACTTAAGCATTAGTCCTGTGAAATAAGTTTAGCTGAGTAACACAAGCTTTGAGTCCTGCTGGCTCTGTAAGGAGCAGCCTCTGGTTTACAGCTGCGATGAGCTGCGGTCTGGGGCTAACAACACAAAGCATCCAGCTGGAGCTCGGCTTTCCCGCTGTGCTCCCGTCCCTCGTCCCTCTGGCCGGCGCTGGAGCTGCTGAGCGCTTCCCGTAACGGAGCCTCCCGGGATCGGTTTAGCTCCTCAGCCCGGGGGGAGCAGGAACAGATTTGCAGCTAGGTTGGAGTTGGAGACGCTGGTGATCTGTGGCTTATGGAGAGCCAAAAATGAGTTCCTGGCAGAAGGGGGCAGGGGAGAGGACAGGAGAGAGACAAAGGGTGATAAAACCGTCACTGTCCATCTCGACTCGGTGTTTGAATGCGTTAGACCCGGGCCTGGAACGGAGCCCAGCCTCGCTCTGCTGGGGCTGCTGCTCTCCCTGCCGTGGCCGTGGGAGCCTCCTCTCCTCTGCAGCAGAGGATCGGGATCCCTCCGTGTTTCCTCTGGAGCATCCCCTAGGACTCACCCCCCGCAGCCTCTGCCAGGACAGATTTCTGTTACTGCCTGCGATGGAAAATGCACTAGAGCAGCCTGTCAGGGCTGCTCGCGCGAGGAAAATGCACTTTAACGTCGAAGCATCAGCAGGCATTTCCTTCACCACGATTGCCTCATGCATAGGAGAATTCCCAAGTAAAAGCTGGGGTTGGAGTTGCCTTGGTGGTGAAGATGACGCTATTGCTGTGAAGTTTTCATAGGAGGAAAGGAGGTAACAAGGGCCCTACGCCCACGTGTGCTTTGAAGCAAAGCCGGGTGCAAACATCTCACTGTAACTAACACCCTGGGGACCTGCAGCAGCCCCCAAGCAGAACCGCAGACCTCTGCGTCCCAGAACGCTGCCCTAGGGGCACTGAGGGGGGATCCTTGCTCTGCTCACTCACTGCTTGAAAATGGGGGAAATGTCCTCACTTGGTGTCTAAGCTTGGTGTAGAGCCAGCCGGGAAGGCAGCGGGGTGAAAAGGGTTTTAGTGGCCTGGTGTGCAGAACTCCTCACCTCTCCCTTCCTGCGCGGAGCCTGGACAGAGCTGGGCACACTTATTTACAGCAACTTTCTTGCTCTGGCAACTTAAGTCAACCTGATCTCTTTAAAGAAAAATTAAACTACTTTTTTTTTCCCCTAAATAACTAGTAAGAACTGGAAAAAGAAAAATCCCCTTCTTTTCTACAGGGTGTATGTGTGTGGAAGAGGGCGCACAAAAACTCCAGGGTCTTGACTGAATAGCAAAGTTTACTTTTTAAAGCCTTTTATTTAAGGACTCTTTTTGTGTTGTGATGAGAGGCCAACTCCATCCTTGGTGGAGCTCTAAGGCAGCTGCCCCAGGAGAGCCGAGGGGCTCAGGGGGGTGCGCTGCAACGGGGCAGGGGATGAACCTGCACCGGAGCCTTAGGCAGTATTGGAACGTTGTTACAGTCTGGCATTTCCACTCATGCATTTACTGGTTCTATGAACCACGGAGAATTAAACTTGCTAACCTCCCTCCTGGTGCCTGCCTCTTTCCTTTCCCTCGGCGGTTCCCGTGTTCCTGCTCCCCGCCTCCTCACGCTGTTTTCCAGGCTGCTCCACGCAGGCGGCTGCAGGAAGGCGGCCCAGGGAAGTGGCAGGAACGCGCTGGGGCTGGGGGGGACAGAGCAGCACCGGGTCCCGGCCCTCCCTGCACTCACACACACCCCATTGCACTAATTGTGTAATCAGCACCACTCTCTCCTGCAAGAAAGGAGCTGTTCAGAGCTCAGCCAGACTATGGAAACAGCAACGGGTTTAATGTACCAAAAGACACTGGTGTACGTAGAAGCCCTTGCGCCCAGGGGAGCAGGAGGTGGCGTCCTGGGGGGAAACAACACGCTGGAGCCCTCGGCAGGACACGCTGGAGCCCTCGGCGGCTCCGTCCCCGCTCTGCTGCGGAGCGGGACGTCGGGCGCCGCGCTGCGGGCCTGGCCGCTCCCCGGGGGAGCGCTGACAGCCTCCGTGCAGCCACCCCTGCGGAGAGACCCCGGGCTGCAGCCGCGGCCCTCCCACCCCATCACGCTTTGTAAACCCAAAACGGGTCCCGTCTTTAGCAGGGAGCTGAACTCAGGCAGCTTCAGCATCGAGGTTGGTTTTCCTATAGGTCCTTGGAGAACAACATGGGCAGGCAACAAGAGAGGCCGGGAGGGCCCAAGCCCCAGAGCTGCTGCAGCTCTGGAGGTTACGCAGCACCCAGCCAGCAGCTCATCATGTCTCCTGCCTTCCGCTGCCTTCGAGATCCTTCAGTGGAAGATGATTTTCTTGTATTTGGAATTGGGTATCTGTCCCCGTGACTTGAGCCTCCGGACGGCCTCGCGCATGTGCTTGGGCTGCAGAGGTGGCAGCTCTCCCCACTTCTCACATACGTCCAGTGCTAAACAAAAAACAGGAGTTTGCATGAGCAGGAGAGCGAAGCTGAGCCAGCCTCAACGGGCAGTGCTGGTCTGAGCTCGTTGGGGGGTTGTTATGTGCAGCAGCAACAGGAGGGTCCAATCTGCAACGAGGCTGCAGGTCAATTCCTTCCCCGTCACGCAGGAGAGGTGTCGTCTCCACCTCCCACCAGGGCACGAGGCAGTTCAGAGCGGTGAACCCGCTCGTGCAACCTGCCCGGGGGGACGCTCCCCGCTGCAGCGGCCACGGGTCGTGCACGACAGATCTGCACCGCTCGTGGGCTGGACAGGATAGACCCAGAGAGGTCTCAGCTTATCCCTTAGAGCATAAACCTTACAGGTGAGAGGCCGAAACAACCCTCCCAGGCTGAATTTGTTCTCCACAGCAGCATTAGGAAAAGATCTCGCCTGTCCTGCGGG